ATATGCTTATTATTACTTCCGGAACTGACATTTCTAGGTACAGTAACAAGGTTCAAAGTAGTAAATATTTTGTTGAGCTTCACATAATGTGAGGATACAGTTTATTATATCGGATTTAGTAAGTTAGGCACATTAGCTTTCCATTAAATGGAAAGCCGTTGTTCTCCTGGTATTATGTCACGATTTGAAAGAAATTTGCTAGGTCTTGATTGGCATCTTTTTTAACCCCGCGTGTTTGAAAACCATTCTTCGATGACTAATCATAATCGACTTATTACAATTTCTAGGACACCGCATGAATGAAAAAGAAATAAGCCCACATTCTATTCATTGGTCTCCTCATTACAATTCGTGTTAAAGAAGTAGATGAAGCCCTGCCGATAGTATTGTAGTGGCTGGAAAGGTAAAGTGCACTCCTGGTTCCTGCACTCATCTGTTTGCTCTACAAAAGGCCATTTTCATGCGGCGAACTCCATGAGGTCACAACAAAGCCTGCTTCTATGCTGTGGTGGGTTTTGGAGCGGTCTGATTCACTCTCCCAAGGAGCTGATTAGTAGCATGCATAGTTTTTCTCTCCCAGAGGTAGAGATGATTAGTGATTCATGCCAAATTAGTGCCTTGTTTGTTGACCTTCTAACATTTACTCTTAATGTCCTTCACCTCTGCACAAAAAAGTGGTGAGCTTTAGTTTCTGTGGTTATTTCCCTCATCAGTAAGAAATTGTTAATCTGATTGCCACTCATTTTTTATATTTCCTCCCTAGTTGTGAGTAGTGGTAAGATCCCTATGGTCATCTTCAGAAGCTGATTTGCCACATGCCAATATCCAGCTCGCCATTCCTAGCTATTTGGGCAAAAGGATCTATCTTTGAACAGAAGGGAAAATCACTAAACTTGTAAGTTTTATGGGATGTTTGGAGATGCATTTGTAATTATATTGAAAAAAGGAAGCGGCTAGTACCTCACTTTAGCAAAGCATCTCCACTGAGGACAGTGCTTAGGCCCACACCCCAAGCTAAGACGTCACAGAAGCGCAGCCCTGAACGAGCCTGGGTCCCAGTGAGCATGTTAGCACTTTTCTGAATAAAGGCCTGAGATTGCAATCCACGCTGCCTTCTCTCATGGCATACCTCCCACTGGGGAGAATGTGATTAAGGAATAAAAATCTGAACACTGCAAGGTTCAAAATGCTACTACAAAAATGTTGCTTTTTTTTTTTTTCATTTTATATTTCTTTAAGCCTCCGCTCTGTCCAGCATGTGAGGAAAGAATCAAAGGTCTTTCAACTACTACCGTACTTAGTAGATAAAATGAATTTTCCTTCCTTTCTTGCTCTTTGTGTCTCTCTGCTGTAGCACTGTAGCTTTCAAACTTTTTTCATTCGCAGAACCCTAAAACATTTCAAATGGAAGTGCGGACCCCTTTGGAAATCTATTACATGCAGGTTCAGTCTTAAATCTCCTTCAGCATCCAGTTTGTTTCGGTATTTCATTTTTATTGATACTAAGGCTGAAAACCCACTTTCACGTAAGTACATGGTGGTGAACAGCATCAAGACTTCAATGGCCTTATCTGCCAGATCAGGGTGCTCCTATTTTATTTTCAACCAGAGTCGGACTAGAGGTTCCTGCTCGAATTCAAGTTTCAGTCCCCAACCACAGGATAACTTGAGTAATTGCTCTTCTTCTTCTTTAGCTATTAGACAGGAGCTAGTTGCAGTCTGCTACAAAGGGTTACGTATCCCTTTGTTCTCATTGACCATTTCAGTACTGGTGAAACTGAGATTTGAGCACCAGCAAACATTCCTCGAGCTTGCTTTTCACATCACTGTCTAGCATCAACTCATTTCCAGCCAAAAAGCTATCAAGGGTTTTGAGCGTGTCAGAATTGTTTTCTCTTCCTCAAGAAACCCCATATTGAAACTTCTTGATGAAAGCCATCAGGTACAGTCCCCTGAATATGCAGGCAGCCATTCGCCTAGGGGTTCCTTCAGATTGCCATGGCAAGCCCTCACATTCTTGGTGGTTCTTTGCAGATGACGATGTTAGGACGGTAACTGCCCATGCCGGTTGCAGGCCTGCTAGTGACTAATCATTCCAGTTGCAGAGAAGCGAACCCTGCTGCAGTGGTAACACGTGTATGGCTGATTGCTGCTTGATGAGGGTGTATCTTTCCTTCTACTCCTCTTCTCAGTGTTGGCTCTGTGTTGACATTCAAAGAAGGCTGTTGCCTTTTTGATTTGGAGCCTCCAGGCATCACGATCTGCAGCCTGTTTCCCACAGTTTGTGGTCAATACTGCAGCAGGCAGAAAAGGAGCACTTCAGAGTGTCCTTGAAGTGCTTGGGTGGGGTCCCTCTGTTGCATTTCCCAGTTATCAATTCCCTGTACAGCACAGCCTTTGCTGGGCGGTTGTCATCCGTCTGGGCCATGTGGCCTGCCCACCGCAGTGGAGTCTGCAGGACAATCACCTCAGTACTGGTGGTATTGGCTCTTTGTAGCACCTTCATGTTGGTGACATAATCCTGCCACTGGGTCTTGAGAATGGTGCGGAGACAGTGCTGATGAAAGGACTCAAGGAGGTGTACATGGCATCGATATAAGACCCATGACTCAGCACCGTGCAGTACGGTGGAGATAATAACAGCTCTGTACACCTTGACTTCGGTCTGCACCCGCAGGCTTTGGCTATTCCAGATCAGCTTGTAGACTCTGTTGAAGGCACTGCTAGCTTTTGAGGGTCTGTTGTCTACCTCCTGGTCGATCATGGCGTCATACGAGATGACACTTCCCAGGTAGGTGAACTGCTTGACAGCATTTAGCCCAGTTCCTTCGGTAGTCATCTTTGGTGGCACGTAAGCTTGGCATGGAGCTGGCTGATGAAAAACTTCAGTCTTCTTTAGGGTGATGGTATGTCCGAAGAGTTGTGCTGCGGTAGCAAAGCAAGTGGTCATGTGGTGCAGGTCGTGTTGGCTGCAGGCCACCAGGGCACAATCGTCTGCAAACAGATGTTCACGGATGAGCTGTTGCGAGGTCTTTGTGTGAGCCTGTAACCGTCTGAGGTTGAAGACGTTTCCGTCTGCCCAGAAGTGGATGTAAACACCTTCCTCGCCTTCCCCAAGATTGTCTGACGCTTGCAGGCAAAGAAAAGGGTGAACAGAGTAGGGGCGAGTACACAGCTTTGCTTAACTCCAGTGGAGATGAGGAAGGGATCATAGAGGTTGCTGTTGTACTTGATTTGTCCATGCTGACTGCCACGGAGTTGCCTGACCATGGTGAGGAGTTTAGGTGGGCATCCAAGCTTCTTGAGACTCTTCCAGAGGCCATTTTACCTTACAGTGTCAGATGCCTTAGTAAGGTCAATGAAAGTGATATACAGCCCCTTGTTCGGCTCCCGGCACTTTTCCTGCATTTTGTCTGAGCACAAATACCATGTCTATCATGCCTCTGTTTGCTCCGAAGCCTCACATGTTCATATGTATTAGATGTGCTGTGAAGATCAGCTAGTAGGTATCCCTAGACCCCACCAGACTTTTGCTGATGGCCTCCCATCAGTTTTGTAGGACCTAATTTTTCACTAAAAATATGTGCAGTTCTTATTGTTCCAAATAAAGGTTTCTCTAAGTACTGCCAATTTTCCCAATGGAAATTCCATCCAAGCTGGTATGCATGCGTGCATGCACTCTCTCACTCGCACGCTCACTCACACACTGACACACCCACACCCACACATGGCTATTCCAGTTTGTAGATCGATGTTGGCGGGTGAGTGCAGGGGCTGCAGGGCTCCAATGTTGCCGGGTTCCCCGTGAAACGGTGGCGGCGGCAGGAGGAGGCAGGGCTGCCCAGATGTGCTCTGCCTGCTGGCACTTGGGTGGCCTCTGGCTGTGGGGGGAGCCGGAGCAGCATCAGCACCAGTGGCGCTTCCCCTTCAGCCACCATCTTTACAGCCACCTTTCCCAGACCTAGCCATGCTTCGTGGACCCCCAGGGCTTTGTGGACCACAAATTGAAAACCACTGCTATAGTAGAGATAGTAGGACTTGGTACTTTTCCTCTGCCAGTCTCCGGTTCTATTTACCAGTAATGAAGATTTGTGCATGGGTAAACCCTCCTTAGCACAAAGCATTTGATGAGCCAGCTTGGATTTACATCAGTATGGATATATTTTAATTTCTTTTCTCTATTATTCCTTTAATGGATTCTTTATTTTTAGAAATTTTTATTATTCCCTTATTCACATTAAAAAATAGCTATGGGGTGTTTGTTCCCTCCAAATGAATAGCTTGAAGCAAAGAAATAACATATTGGAATTTTAATTTATTTATTAAATGCATACCCAGAAAATTTAGAAATGAAACAAAAAGCAGCCTTTTTACCATTTTTCTAGCGTCTGCTGACTGTTGCATAAGCTAAATTATTTACAGTTTGATGCCTCACAAAAGAGAAGCAGATTTGGGTTATTTACTTTTCTGATAAGAAAAAAGGATTGAAGTTGCTGTGATATGCTGCTTTGTTAATTTTGTATTTGTTCCCTGGTGTATAAAAATCCTTCTAAAGCACTAACGTGAGTACTGGCAGGCTCTTTTGAAATGGTATGGAAGTTGTAAGATTTAAAAAAAAAAAAAACCCACATGAAAAGGTCTTAAAAATATAAGTCAGCAAGTGTTAGATAAAAATAAAAGTGCTCAGCAGTTGAAAACCTGTAGGATGCGTAATTTGTTTGCTCTCCATTTAGGAGAGGCCTCTGCACTCCATTTGGGAGTAGTCCTCATGAGCTGTGTGTTTTGGATGATGGGAAGCTGAGTATATTGAAACAGCGTGTTTGTACAGTATAATGAAAACCACTGAAAATGACCACGCTGAAGATCTCCCCCTAATGAGGAGATTAAGACCCCCCGGGTAAGATGGAAGAGAGAAAATCATAGCCTCGTCCTTTGCCTGGGAGGTTTCAGTCGTCGGTGTTTGCGCAGTGTTTTCACGCGGTTCTTTCTGCCCTTTGTAGATGCCAGCGACTCGTTGGACACGACGGCTCCTGTCATTGTAATCCCCCCACAGAATACCAGCGTGGTAGCGGGGAGCAGCGAAGTCATGCTGGAGTGTGTGGCCAACGCAAGGTATTGTAAAAGCAGTAGCAATAATAAAGCCCCGTTTTAAGAAACCGCCTTCTGTTCAATGGGAGAAAGAGCGTCCGTTTTATTTCACGGTTGCAATAAGCATAGAGCCTGCTTTTCTCCCAGCGATAAGCAATCTTGTTTGTCAAGCCGTGTGGCCAGTTTAACATACAGATTATTTCTGGGAAAATAAGGCACTAGAAATAATTGCTTTCCTACCTGTTACTCGTAGAGGAAAAAGGGAGAAAAGAGAAATGTAACATTTTGCCACCAGCAAACATTGTGTTCCAGAAGTCCATGAATGTTAGGGGTTAATCCTATTCTGGTTGTGTCACCTATTGCAGGTTCACAGCCTACACTTCCTTTGAATTGATTTTGGAGGACCTTCTTCCATTTTCCTCCAACTGCATAAATAGAGCAGAGGTGGCAGGGTACTGCACATACCTGCTAGAGTTTGTCTGTGTCCAGTGATTACTACTCAGTTGTTTGCATTAGGACGCTGACTACTTGCCAGAAGTCACTCCTATTAAAGGCACGGGAAATTTAGCCATTGCATATATTGGGAGTAGGATTGAATTGCAGGAATGTTAAAGGGTTGAGGCTCTAGATGATAAGAGGACCAATTGATTACCTCTCTCTGAAGGCGGAGATGTTCTTGATATAGTTAGTACTACCTCTGTAATTGAGTCATAATGAAAGCGCCTCCCTTGCAGCTGATTCCCTTAGTAGTTTTTATTTTGAATGTCCTTTGCTCAGACAAATCAAATCATTAGCATTTCATTTCCATTGCTATAACAATTAGCTGTGCTTGTATATGAGTAGTTTGAAGCCGTGATACATGGCCGTTAGATCTGGATTTATTTCTAAGCAGCTAATGCTCAGTCTACCAGGGATATTGGAAGAATAAGGTGAGTTGTATGCTCTGGGTATCAGTGCAGATACCGTTATTCACTGGAATAACTGAAATGTTTTTTTTTCCCCCCTTGCAGACCTGTTGAGAAACTAAGCATTTCCTGGCAGAGAAATGGAATAAAAATAACCAGCGGAATTAGTAGTTTTGGGAGACGTCTCACTATTACAAATCCGACCTCTGCTGACATTGGGATGTACTTCTGCGTGGCGGAGTTGAGAGACAGCCTTGTTGAACCAGCGAGAGCAAAAGCCTTCCTATCTATTTTGGGTAAATCTAAAGAGAGTGTGTTTTATAGTAAAATCAGGCTTGGGCTTAGATACAATAGGAAATAGAATTGATATTTTAATATTTCATCGACCTTACATTTGAACCTCTCCTCAGTGAATGGGACAAAAGAGGTGAAGTGAGGTTATCTTCCAAATTAATTCAGCTCTTTTTCTCCATGAATATAAATTCATCAGGCATACTCTCTTTTTTCTTTAACTGATGTGAGTCTGAATATCCTGTGAAACTTAAATTTAATCTTGAATCAGCAGTAAAATCCTTATTGGACAGATTCCACATCTTGGCTTTTAGGTGCATTAAACTCCGATTAACTCCCAGCTTGCTAACATTTCGTTTTAGGATGTCAAGTGCCTGTTTTTCTGATACAGCCTTTTAGAAGGGCTTTTGTGCATTTTTGTGCACTTTTACAAGCCCCAGCATGGGGCTAAGGATGTTCCCAGGCGCATAGCCAGGCAGATGTCACTAGTGAGGTAACAAAAGGGAGAAGAAAGCTGATTTAACAAGAGTGCTATGGGCTTTACCTCTGACGGGAAGAGAAGAATTGGAGCTTGATTTTTTTTAAAGGAGCATTATTACATTCCAATTAAACTTTAAAATAGTTTAATCTCCCCATTAGGTATCTGGGGTATTCTCTGGTTGTCTTTTCTAATGTCACTAATTAGCAATAGGTATTTGCAAATTCAACTTCCCCCATCTGCCTGTGTGGCCCTTGACTAATTCATCATGGCTAGTCACGGAAGGTTTTCTGTACCCGCAGCTTGCGAGGATGCTCAGTACCACACAGGAAGCCTTGACCATCTTGTAGGATCAGGCCTTATTTCCTTCACCCCATGGCTCATGCCCTCTAACCATAGCCTCCCAGGATGGATTGGGCAGGAGGAGGCTGTGTAGCATGTAGAGGAAGACTCCCTTTGTCCGTAGATATTTTGGATGTCAGCAAAGAGAAGAAAAAATGAAGGGCAGAATTGTGTTGTATAGTTTGATAAAAGGTTACATATCAGAAAAATAAATGCTGGTGTTGCTTTAGTCCTTTAAATACACAGCTTGGCGAGCGTATGAAAAATCTTTCCTTGCATCGCTATTTTATGCTACGTTAATGTTATCATGGAATTGGATTATCCCCCGTGGCACAGATTTAGAAAAACTAACATCCTTTGTACCAGCAAGGGCCCTTGCCCTACAGGGGCACTGATCTGTTCCCACCATCATCCCCTTATGGGTTTTTGCCAAGGGAGGAGGACTGCAATTTCCTCTAGGCACTCCCATGCTATCAGGGACTTCAGCAAATGCCATGCGGGCTCCCCAGCTACCACAGTCATCGCTCCTCCTGGGCCAGCACTGCTCGCAATCTGGACTGTGGCAGACCCCTCGGGATGTCTCGGTGCAGAGGAGGTGGTGTCCTCCGTCTGGCACTGCCTCTCAGGGCTTCCCTGGCAGAAGTCAGCAGAAACCAGAGGGAAATTCAGTCCCCTGCCAGAAAAATCACATTAATACAATTAGAAGATGTCTGTCCAGGGCATGTCATATGGTGACAGGAAACAAATGAGCACTTTTGACACTCGACAAAGCTTGGTGGGAAATTTTAAAAGCAAAAAGGGGCTTTTGAGTTATGATCCAGTGGTGATTCCATCAGCCTTGCTCTGATTTTTACCAGGTGCCGTGATGACTGTGGATATAGATACCTATCCTAGATAGACAGATAGATCATTTTGCTGTTATTGGCCCCCAAACTGCTTGTGTGGCTCCGAACTGATGCACATGCTGCGTCGTAGATTTGCAGATAGAAGCGAGCACGCCGTTCTTTGCATCTCCTTCAGCATACCGCAAGACTCACATACAGGCTCCCTTTCATTGAAAGTACTTTAAGGCAGTTTGTTAGAGAAAAAGTAGCTCCTCTCTCTTCAAAGCTCAGTGCCAGTTTCAAACCACCCAGTCCCTTTCTTAGACTGTAATTTAGAGCAGACTGCATGAAGTTTGATTCCAACTTCTTTCCTTTGTACTCAGGTTCCTTAGAATTACTACCTCCCAGCTTCTTTGCCTTTAAGGAGCAGGGACAAATTTCTTTTATTTATGATTTTGGTTGGGAGCCCTTCTTTATTCATAAGATTTTATTGTAACAAGTTTAATTTTGCCACTGTGCTGTCAGATCTTGCCTGGCTCAATGCTTAAAGCACTAAGTGTAAGAGGCTCTTAAATATCGTTAGAATGAAGCTGAAAAACAATCATTGGGGAATCATATTAAAATAGTGATGCCTCCTTTGATTAGCAGCTGATCTACTGTCTTATTTTTAGACGTTTTATGTATTTCTTATTCGGTTTTATGGGACTGTCAGTGAATGATGTTATGAAAAGGCCCGTAGATACGAAGAAGCAGATGAAAGAAAGCAGAAACAAATTGGTTACCAATTACTTTTATTTTGTCCTGATGGAACAAGACACTTTAGTTGCAGGTGTTTACTCAGTGTGTCAGCAGTCGCTGCTACTTTTCTTTATTTATGAGTCTCTTGAACAGCAGGATGGATTCCAAACAGGAAGCTGAATCAAGGGATTAGTAGTTAATTCATGAAGAAGCGGCTCGTGTTCAACCTCAGAGCTCCAAGATGGAACAGAGCCATTGTTTAATTAGCAAGGGGAACCGCATCTGGAGGGAAGTAGAGATGAGGGCCAAAACCAGAGTCTGCTCCTCCTAATAGGATGCTCTTTTCAGAGACATTTCCCTCTTAACTTACATTATTAAAATCTGTTTTAATAGCAGTTACCCGGACACTGCTTGTGTCTGTCCATTTGTGGCCATGAAATATTTGTAGAGACACAAGCTGATTCCCGTATCCCGCCATCGACTGCACTGCTTGGTGGAGTACTAGAGACCAAAAGTAGTAAGAGATCCAAGAAAAAAAAATGCGTTAATAGAAGAGTTTCTTTTAAAGCTTCTCATGAAAGGTCAAATGTACCCACGGATTAAAACAACGACGAGAAACACATGAATAGTTGGATAGGAGGCAAAGACAGATGTTCCTCCTGTTACCATATAGAACAGCAAAAACCATGCAAAGAGATGCCGTCAAGAGCATTAGAAAGATTAAAGCAGTTAAAGCATCCTTAAAACACATTGTTCCCATTTAATATGGCATGCAATGAGGAATCGACATAAAAATGCTTTATTAGAAGCCAGGGGAGTCCAGTATAAGGGCCCCTCCATTACTACCCCAGCAGGATCTCCAGGAGGGATTATACAATATATCTGATTTGTATACTACAACCAAGTGTCATATTTGCACAGTCTCGTATTAAGTACTGTAATAGAGTGGTAGCCCGTGAGCGAAAAGAAAGCCTGCTAGCCTTGTACCGCGCTGAAATTTTCCACCGAATGTGGCAAAGCTGTTCCTGACATCTTCATATTGTTCCAGCGGAGATAAACCGAGGTGGTTCCAAACTCTGGTTTTATTAGCTGCAATTGTAATACATTTTTTAAAGGGTAGCATGTTCTTTAGTTAGCAGAGTAGCAATTTGGGGAAGATTTGTTGCAAATTAGATCAGAACACATTTGTTTTACCACTAACTATCAGAAGATTAAGTAACTTGATGAGAGTCTGCTCATGACAAACTCATTTGGAGACAACTGATTTATAAAATAAAAACTTTATTTCAGTTCTTCCAATTCCTTTAAAACCAGTGCAAAATAGTTATTTTTGAACTGACTTTTATATAGAGGATTATGAATACCAGGAGCTTGAGAGCATATGGAAACAAATCCTTCCGCTGTGTGAAAATGATTGTCCTGTAAAGCCGGCTAAAATTAAAAGTAAAAACTGGACAAAATGAGAGAGAGAGAGACAAGCAACGATGCAAAGATATTAGAAAGGTCTTGTGGGATCAAGCTTCATGTTGGTAACCACTTGGCAAGCATAAAGGAGTAAAAGCAAATGATGTAACAAAGGAAAATGATATGATAGAGGATTCCTCTTTCTTATGGTGCCCTTTTCTACAGCTGGAAAGCATCACCAGCATTTTTTTTTCTCCCTGAGTTTTTCTATCTGAGCTGGTATACATTTGTTTCTCAGGGTCGGGGCGGTAAGGAATGAGGCGTTAGAGGGTCCTCTGTGCCTGTCTCTCTTGTGCAGACTGTATCAAATCTCAGCCTGCCCCAAAGATGTAGTGCAATGGGTCCACAGGTTTCAGAGTATTCAGGTTTCTAGAGATGACCTGGTTGGAAGCGGAAGCAAACTGTAGTTTGGCTTGCAGTCACAGGTAGTAGGTAGTCCAGCATGCTTGTAGCTCAGCGTTAGCAAAGGTACCACAAACCAAGTCTTTAAACCAGAGGTGATTTCTTTAAGGATTCTCATTTGTGCATGGGGAAAATGAAGTATAGGAGAGCTGCCTGGAGTAGAAAAGCCATTTGACTTGCCTAGACTAAAGTTCAGAAGCTCAGGGAAAAAGCAGCTTTCAGGTGATCTCCTGAAGCATGTGGAAAGGGAATATCCAAATTCATTTCTGAGGTTTGCAGACTGCGGGACTGTGATTGGCATCCACATCTCAGCCCTTTAAGAATCGTTTTTACTACTATTAGTGTTTGGATTTGTGCTTCTTACCACACACACACACACACACACACACACACACACACACACACGTATTAGTCATCCTTGTTATAAATTAAAATACAGTCACCTCAAAGGATGATAACCACTCCCCTCTTTGAGAGCACAACTGTGCTAACTACAACAGTGCATAAAGACCATCATAACTAGGACAGAGAAGGATTTATCCTGAGCCTCATAATATCCAAGAGATACTAAAGACTACTGAGGGTTGTCTGTTAATTATTTCTGTAATAAAGTTCTTCTATGATTCTCAGAAAAAGAGAAGTCCCGGTTCAAGGAAATCTGCCACCAACAACTATATATGTAGATGGAGATGTACTCCCCAAATGGGCACTTTTATCCACCTGCTGGAGTTAGACGCTTTACACTTGCAAGGCACTT